TTTTTTTTTTTTTTTTTTTCACACAAACTCATGTAAACTGATATAATTCATCATTTAAGTACCATTTTTTTTTAAATTAAAAAACGAATTAATTAGAAATCGTATGAATAATCGTGTGTGATGTTGAATTTACTGTGGAATATATTGTAAGAAGAAATTATTCTAAGAAATTATTCTTTCTTAGCCTTCATAATGAGAGGTAAAAAAAGATATATCCAATCCATAATTTAGGTTTACTTTTACCACAAAAATGATCTGATGAATATGCACATTTGAAAAGTATTGCAATAGTCGCTTGGAACTAATAGAAATTTTTATTCGGCATTTTACTGACACAAATATACGTTAAACGGTCGGTCGATCGTTATTCAAGCGAAATTATTTTTTTTCCTTTTTTTAGTTTGAAGAATATTTTTTTGCTTTGTCTCTATAATTAACCCTGATCAAATAAAGAGCAAATTTATCCAAATATTTTACGTGCACAATTATAATATAACAATACTTAATAAATTACAAGTATCTATGATATCTTAGCGAAAGAATTTTTTCATGTATTCAAATAATTATTATAATGTATTCTCATTCGTCAGTAGTACGATAACATATAATACTAATTTATTACTTACTCTGAAACTCTTTCCTTATTAACTATTTAATACTACATTAAGAGCAATTTACGTTTTACGCGCTTTTATGCATCGTAGAGGATACAAACTAAAATTGCAAAAATAATAAGAATTTATTTTCTTTTTTTTTTTTTTTTTTTTTCATTACGACATCTATGCCTTATGACATTAAATAACACGTAATGATGACGTAGCAAGGTTTTAGCGTACGTGTGGGCTCGTATTACAAATGACAAAGGAAAATCTAATGGAATAGTGTGAAAAATATATTTTCCATAGTGCTTTCAGTGCATATATTCCAAAGTAGTTAAACGAATTTTTCCTCTCCTATACATATTTTTATAACCGAAACTTTCAAAACAATTGAAACTCATAGAGCTGACCAAGTACACAGTTGCAAAAAAATACAGTAAACATTCTTGTTTTCAGCGGCAAAGCGACGACACAGTAGATAAATCACCGAAACTTGTAAGTTTATATCTCAACTTTCTTTCTTTTTTTTTTTACTTCTCAAGGAAATGCCAGCGAGCAAGTAAAAAAAAATTAAATTTTAAACTCACTGGATCGTCAACGATGTTTTCGCTCAACTGCGCTTGCAAATACCAATGTTTTTATTCTACGCAATCGTGTACGTGTATTTAACATTGACATACAACGAACGCACTTGAATATTACAGGATAATGACGATGCATATGCGAGCGATTCATCCGCAAAAATATTAATTTCTATCGCTGATACGCCTAATTCGTCTACGACTTTGGTAAAGGAGATGCAAAAAGGAGAGGACGAAGTTGTTGCGTTTCTAGCGCATCCTCGGCACTTTTTAATCGCGATCCGTAGCAGAGATCGTAAGATGAAGAAGAAGAGCGATTACTTTGCCAAAGTCGGGGAAATAGTGGCGAACGGTCGTCGTTGTCGTCGTCGCCATCGTCGTCGCCGTAGTCGTCGCCGTAGTCGTCGCCGTAGTCGTCGCCGTAGTCGTCCAATGGTGACACATCCTACCTAACATCCCTAAAAAGTATTTGTTCGTCCTTGGAGGGTTGAAGTCGCAAGGGCGATCAATTGAACTTGGCGAGGAGGACAGGTGGTGGTGGGTTAGGGGGGACTCTCTCGAAAGGGCCAATGAGAAGGGACGCTCGGGTCCGAAGTTACGCGGTCGGGGGCCGATAAGCTACCCGTAGCCGCTTTAAAGTCGACGCACCAGGACCTACCAGCGCACGTTCCAATCATTAATCCGGCGCTCCGGTAATTTAGCGGGTCTGAGTGTGCCTGTGCCGGAAATCGCACCAGGCCAAGTTTACGGGACCGTCGGCTCGGTGAAGAAGGAAAGCCGGCTTTGAAAGAGCGCGGCACCCGGGGGTGTCCGCTTTTACCTCGGTTTTTCCGAGTGCCCGCGAGTTTACGGCTCGTAAAGTTCACCACCGGCCTCCGGGCTAAATGTTTTCCGCCGCTTCGTTATTTCGAGAGCGGCACCCAACCCCACCAGCCCGGGTCGTTGGGGCTCACCTTACGGGCCGATCGAACGACGCGTTTCAAATCGAATCCCGGGCGACCGCGACCGCGAGGTTGTGGTGGGGATGGCAGGGCCAGGGGACGATAGGGGAGAGGGGTGGCGAATGGTGGAAGACAGGGAGTCTCGTCTGCCCCGGATGCGGGAAATTCGTGAGAGACACGGCGGCCCGTCTGCCATTCAAGCCGAATGAACTCGCTGCTCCGATAATCGGATGGCGCTCCTTCTTGCGTTTTATTTAAAGATTGATTTATTGCGCCGAATCTGGAGCCTCGCCACGACTTGACTCGAGAATAATTGAAATGCAAGAGCACAAGTACAAATAAGCTATCGAACAAGCACCGGCAATACATGGGCTTGTGTGCCCAACATCTTTCTCTTTGCCGAGGATTCGCGAGGAGTGAGTTCAATTTTCAATTTTCATCAAACGTATTAACATACCAATCAAGACAAAATATCTATTGCCAGGAGATTAGACTTCGATGCATTAGCCGAGGCTTCTTTTTTTTTTCCTTTCTCTCTTTCTCTTTCATGTTCTTTATTCTTTTTCTCCATCTTTGCCCGCGTTATTGGTCACTGGGTTGACATACGTGTTAACGCATTTTCTAAATACCAATGACTGTCGTCGCCTATACGTTCTAATATTGAATTTGTTTATCGGTGAATCGGTAAAATTATTTCTTTATCATTGAAAAAGAGTCACGGATCTTTAAAGCGAGAGATCTATCTATCTACCTATTTATCCCGATTATTTATTAAAAAGGTCTTTCAATGATTTATTTTCAAATTAATCTTAATATGCGAAGTAGTCATATTCGATAAATAAACTTACAATATTAAACAAACGTAAAACATAAAATATCTGCTCTCTATGAAATGAATAAAAATGGAATGTCTATTTTGTTGAAAATAAAAGAAAAATAATTTTGAATCCCATATGTTTGAGAGAAGAAATATTTTATTTCAATAAATCTCATTAATAAATAAATCTTATTTTTATTTTAAAAAATATCTATTCTTGTGTTAAAATGTCACTGACAAAAATTCTGCTCCATTGTACAATTATATTACAGTATCGCTCTAAAGTAAATGTAAAAATACCAAAAAATATCATATTTAATGAATATTTTTGAACCAATACACATGCAATGAGAAATTCTATTGACAAAGGAAATTTAAAAAAATGGTTTCTATTTTAGTCAACGTCTCATTCGCAAATAGTTTACCACTCTAATAATAACAATATCTTAACGTTGAGAAAATTATGAAATAAACTCACCAATAACCGAACAAATTTCCCTTCTCAACATATTGTTATCTTAATGTTTGTTTAAAAAAGATTATTTTTATTTAGTGTAATATACTTTATGATATGCTTTATGATACTTTATGATACTTTATGATGTCAATATCAGAAAAATGACGATGCCAAGGACAACAAATTTCATACTCTCTCTTGTCGTATCGTATACATGCGCATCGTTTCTCTTACGTAAATTACATTTTAGCTATATAATACTTTGCTTCTTTATTTGACAAGTTTTGCTACCATAAACAATGATACAATATTACAACCAAACTCGATGAACAAATTTTGAAAAATTACTGCTATTCCGCTATTTAACTCTCTCTCTCTCTCTCTCTCTCTCTCTCTCTCTCTCTCTCTCTCTGTGTATATTCTCTACTCTCCACGCGATATCTCGCGTTAAATCGGTATTATTAATAAATTTTCGTAAAAATAATTAACAAATTAATTATTTTTACGTATAAAAATTATTAATCATTATAATGGCTTTTGAAATACTTTCTTGGAATATTGGATGGCGATGGAAGCACGAATGGCGCGAATGTTTAAATAAATTAATAGTCAAAAACGCTTTTATTATATTTTGATTCGGACATCTAGTTCTTTACGTTGTAAGAAGTGTGGGAGAAAATTTATTTATCTTTCATCGTAAATTTAATCGAATGCATACTTCGAATTTCTAGCGCCAATATCTATTAAATACAATTTACACATTTATGCGCGTGCGATAATAAAACGATAAAGAAAGGTGGATAAGATTGCCACTTTTGGTAGATCGAGCGATTCTACCTCTAATTGAATAACTGAATTTTCAAGAAAAGTGAATATTATCTTTGATTGAAATGCAAAATTAGACGGGGAATTGCACTGTACACAAAATTAACATCTATAATGAATAGGAAGAGTATTTTTAGCTCGTAATCCACATAATTAAATAAGTAATGGATAATCTGCCTCTTTTGAAACGGGGCTGGGAACCTAACGGGAAAGCCAATATAGCTTATCGTAAATACCTAATTTGCTACTGCGGTCGAGTGCAATGGACTCTCGCATACGTACAAAAACCCTTAAAAAAATGGGCAGTAAGTAACGGTTGGAACGTCAACGTTCTTACATTAAGTAATGAAGGAAACTCCACGTAGCGGGCGTTGTCGCTATTACACGACCAATACTATTGTCTAAAAAGAGTATTGGGCCATTTTCGCAGGTAACGCGTTTCTAGTGAACGTGGCGCTGGCTGACCTCCTAATCTCCGGTATGGTCATCCCGGCTTCGGTGATACTCATCCTGGCCGGCAACGAGGAGTCTCCGCACGGGATCTGCCGCTTCGAGTGGACGCTCGAGGCCCTCTGCTTCCTCGTCACGGTCCTCACGCTCGCGGCCATCGCTGTGGAGAATTACATGCGGCTATGCTGGCCCGTGGAGAGGTAACCTGCCCATAATCACGTAATCGCCGCAATAAACCCCACCCCCCCCCCCCCCCCACCCCCCCCCCCCCCCCACCCCATCCCTTTTCTGCCGCTTCGAGTGGACGCTCGAGGCCCTCTGCTTCCTCGTCACGGTCCTCACGCTCGCGGCCATCGCTGTGGAGAATTACATGCGGCTATGCTGGCCCGTGGAGAGGTAACCTGCCCATAATCACGTAATCGCCGCAATAAACCCCACCCCACCCCCCACCCAACCCCCTCCACCACCCGACCATTAGCTTTTGTTATACGGAGTCATTAGAGAGTGCTAAATCATTTTAAATGCGCGGCGAGCCATCGGCGCGAAAGAAGTCCCTTTTAGTTTCGCGTTACACCGAGCTGCTGCTGAATTATACGTATGGAGTGCAAAGCCAAGAATGTGTGACCATAAATAACGACGCTCGGCCTGATTAATCGCTAATACATGGTTGTATTATCGGGCGTAATCGAAATGACTGTTATCGGATTAGGCCCCTGATTGGAGAAAGTATTTTACCGAATCCCGTTTAATCATGGATAGTGATTCATTCGTTATATTTCAAAATGATTTTTTGTTTGTCTCGTTGCCTCGCGCTCGTGCGACGTGGTCCGCGTGAATTTTTGAAATCCGAAACTCCGGTTAAAATGCTAAATGAAAATGCTAATGTCTCTGTCACCTTCTGACACGCGCGAATCGCGCGTACATCTGCGCCAACTACAAAGCCACCATTTTTCAAAGGGAGCAGGCCTACTGGACCACGACTCGAGCTACAAAAAAAAAACAAAAAAAACAAAAAAAATCCTTTATTTTGAGCGGTATTTTTTTCACGCGCGTTCACAAAAATAAAACAAAAACTGTATTACATGACTGCGTATGTAAATATGTCAAGAGCAATTTTTTGATGACGTTTGATATTTAAACAAATTTGTTTGGATTATTAATTATTTATGAGTATACGAGAAAATGAATAATTAACTATCGAAACTATATATCGTGTGCTAAGTGGAGAGCCACAAATTGAAGATAATTATACGTAGTGTTTGGAAAAATTATCATATTTAGACGGCGCGAATTATGCCGCAAATTACGACAAGTCAATAATTATACCATTATTAAATTTATTATAAATATATTGTTTATGTCAAATAGTGGTTGAAATCACGTATCGTAGTATGCAAATTTAGATGGCAATTCATAGTTGTTGATTGAATTCACAAATTCATTTGAATATAGATTTTTATGCTCGTTTTGGTCCGTTTAATAAAATTATTTAATAACACGATATATTTTTATAAATATGTACATAAATATAATTTGTGGACATAAATAAAATATAATTTGAGGACAATCGTTTGGTATTATGGCCTTAAATGAACGATAACGAGTGAAGAAATAAATTTTTCAAGACATATGTACACTTGCTTGAAAAGATTAAACACGTAAATTTTCTACAAACAGCTCTTGAATGTGATTAAATCTCATATACGAAGAAATGATTATTCATTTTCACTAATGCGAGTGTAAAATTACACCATTACATATCGACATAATTTTATGAAATATTTAATTAGTTTATAAGCCATTGTAATTTATCACTGTGCAAAAGTATAATTGATATGAAAATTAACGCAACAGAAATTGTACGAATATTCCACATAACACAAGCACAAGTAGTAATCCAAATTTTCCGCAAAAAAGTAAATACATTCGGCTATTATACAGGTGGTTAACTTCATTTTGCCGTATTACATTGACTAATATAGCGCAATCGTCGCAAATTAACCTGTCCTCAAGATCATTTATCGACCAATAAATATTTAACATTGATTAAAAATGGGAATAAAATTAGTAAACATTTGCCTATATCCGCAAGAAGAAAGAAAGAAAGAAAGAAAGAAAGGCGGTGATGGGAAGATTTTAATAAAGTACTACACGCGTGTCCCGAGCTGAAATTAATGAGATACAATGAACTAAGTGAAAAGTGAACTGATGCATGTGCAGCAGCACTTCTTTGGTTTCACAGTAAAAAAATTCTTGGAGTCGGGAAATTGCTGTGTCACAGTTTTTCTCGCCATAAATTCAACTGTCACGTCGAAGCCTTTGTTGATATTTAACATGGCTTTTTTCCTTTTTATTTGTTTTAATTTTTTTTGTTTTTTTTTTTTTTGTTTTTTTTTTGTTCTTTGTCTCTAGAAGAACTTAACTCTCGGTCGGTGCTAAATGTAGCCTTAAAGTTTTTGCACTATAGATTTAGTAACGGCGAAGTTGCAGAGATAATGTATTAGGCACATAAATCCATCCTTTTGTTCGCAAAGTCAAAAAATTATTAACAAAAGTTTAAGGGCAAACTTTTCTTTCTTTCTTTCTTTCTTTTTTTTTTTTTTTTTTTTTTTTATTTTAACAAACTATTATTTCCAGTTATTCTTCGCTATCTTACATACAGGTAGCATACAAACTTCGTTAATAAATTGTAGAAAGACGCTGCTAGCGAGGGAGGTGTTAACATAAAGTTCCGCTCGTGCCAATATCGAAGCCTCTTGCAGTGCGCATTAAAACAGAAAATGACCGGGGCAAGTAGCCATTTTGAGGGATCCACGTTAAATGAACACCTCACGTGTGAGAGAATTTCCCAATTTAAGGCAACAATGACTTCGTTACTCCTATTTGGGACGCGTGGTAGATGGTTATCATCCTCCAATATGTATATAATACGACAACGAACTTCCCTCCAAAGCGCCATTGGAGATTAATGAAGGAAATTTTCACGCGCGAATAGCTTATACAAGATATTAATCGGCGATCTATTTAAGATAAGATTTCTTTCACTGCGATTTATCAAGCGGAACGAGTATTCTTGCAGAAATAAATATCTTCAAAATTTTTATTACTTCGATATATATCGCACAAATGCGATACAAAATTTAAACAAAATTCAAGTCTCGTGATTTTTTTTTTCTTTTTTTTTTTAAATTTTTAGCTACGCATGTTCTGTTACGTAAACAAGAATTAAACAAAAAACAAAAACAAAAAAACAAAAAAACAAAAAAAAACAACATTACGGATGAAAATAAAATTGATTTTTATTTTGTTTATTACAAATTCAAACTAGGATTAGTTTCACTATTTAATGAAAATAACAATATTCAAGAATTTTTATATCAAAGTTAATATTTTTACTTATATTTAATATTTATATTTATATTTGTCATAGGATTCGAATGATCTATCGCATAATTATTGAAATTTATAATTTAATTAATGAATTTTATAGGTAGAATTACAATTCAACCTAACATTATTTAACAGATCAATAAATAATTTATATATATATATATATATATATATATATATATATATATATACATCACTAATTATATCTTCATAAAGACATTCATTGAAAAATTGTTTCATATAATTTAATAAAATTTGTTTAATTATGTTTCATTTACATTAATGTAAATTAATAATTGCAAAAAAATGAATAGGAAGGAATTAAAGCAAAAAAAAACAAAAACAAAAAAAAGGTAATTCAACGATATATTAATAAACAAATGTTACAGAATACAAAATATACAAAATGACATGCATATCACAGAAAAATAGCTGATCTAATATGTCAAAATCTTTACAATTTTAAACGCATAAATAATTATTACTTTTTAATATGTGATTTACTATAAATAAACAAGATAATAGTTGTATTTTAAAAGAATAACCTGATACGATATTATGAACTTATGAATATTACGAATTTTAAAAATTAAATCCAATACAATTTCTATCACTAAATCCTCATCATATATTTAATTCTAAATGAGTCATTAATTTCCAAAAAGTCATACTAATTTTTTTAAGTATATTAAAAAAATTTCGTGAATGAATAATCCAATAAGACATGCCTACGTTTCTATCCTTTAAATATTTCAAACAACAGAATTTAAAATGAATGTAAAAATGTCTCTATATTAATTAAAAATTGCTTATAAAATATTCTTTCTAAAATAATGAAAAAGTACGATACTAATTTTTCATTTATAATTAACCGATATAACGTTGCATAATTTTTAGCCCATATTTCTACTCCATAATATTCAATATCGTATAATATTGCATAAATCGAATTTTTGTAATTTATGAAAGAAAATAAATTTCTGTATGAATCATAGGCGCATATTATATATAAACTCATATAATCCAATAACACTGTTTTGATAAGATTTATGCATCTGTGATATTAACTTATGCGCTTCATACATGAACTTTATATGTCGAATTTTATACATGACTTGGAGATAAAAAGTTTTTATGTGAATCATAAGATACTCGTAAAAGAATAACAAATGACCGTGTCATGTATGAAAAGTACATGATTCGGATATTACATAAACATATATTTGTATACCATTCATGTTTAAACCATAGATCATCGAAATAATAAGAACTTCGTAAATAACTTCGTAACACCTTCCTTTCGAACGCTAACTTTATTTCTCTCTTATTTTCAATAGCGAAAATTTCGTTAAATTAATTTCAGAAGAAGAAAAAACAGTGCATTTTTACAATATAAATCACAATCGATACATTGAAATGAATCAGCATGGATAGCTTGATTTATGTTGAATTTTATCGGTTATTCTTATTCGCCGATTCAATACATTTTTGTTTTCCAAACTCATATATATCCTTTTAAATATATGAAGAAACTAAAGAATTGTTTACATAACAATACAAAATTCATATAACGTTCGACTGTAAATTAAATATACAATTGCCAATAGAAGATTGTCGCTCCCATGTTAAAATACAATTACAATTAAAGAAAAAGAATAATGATAAATTTCGAAATTATGATTATATGTTCCACTGAATTTCGTGTAATGACATGCGCATTCTTCAATCTTTGGTTTGACCTGCTTACAATTATAATAAGGAACTTGATTCTTAATAACTAAAGTCGTTTGTTCGATACTAAAAAAAATCACAGATTTTCCACTATTACACCTGAGATTATCAAATAAAAATATAATTATATATAATATAATAATAGTCCATTTCCTAAACTTTTAATCGATCATATTAAATCGATCATGTTAAAATAATGTTTAAAATATTAAAAAATATTAAAATATCTTAAACAACATAGTATTATAATGAATTTGAACAGATGGTTTTAATTG